AAAAAAAAAAAAAAAAAAGAAGTACAATACATGCAAATTTCTCCAAGTTTCATCTATTTAAAAATACTGCAGTACAGAAAAAAACCTGGTGATCCTGCCAGGAATCCAGCAAGCTCCTAACTTCCTATAATGTGCTGACAAAGTTGCGTCTGCTGCACTTCAATCCCAAAATATGTTATTATACAGGATTTACTTAGCGCCAACAGTTTGTGCAGCGCTTTACAATACAAGGCAGACATTACAATCACAATACAAGATGGTAAGGAGGGCCCTGCCCGTGAGGTCTTACAATCTAAAAGGGAGGGGCAAGTGATAAATAAATGTATCCCAAATTCTCCCCTGCTGCACTAAAGAATACTTACCCTTATGTTATTGAAATGGAGAAAGAAAGGGTGTTCTGCAGGACAGGAGACTAAAAAGAATAGACTGTCATACACACAGTATGTCTGGTGGCCAGACACTAGGAGAATTTTAGTCACAAGTGAGTATCAAAATAAGGGTTTCTCTTTTATTCTGGGCAGAAAGGAGTAGTTTTTTTTATTCCATGTTCTGATAATGTTGCACATTTGCCCTACTGGTTGATGACAGGTTCGATTGACTGCAATGAGGGCAACTATATCACGGAGGAATGGATCAATTCTCAAAAACTGGCAACATACAACTCAAAATTTCACCTGCAATGTCAAGGAAAAATCAAAATGATTAAGGGTCCCAGTGTTTCCCCACTTGATAACTACTTGGAGGTGTGCCAAGTATAAGTCCACTTTACATAAAACACAAATGGGGCGAATATATAAAAACTGGAGCAGACAGGATCCGGAACAGTTGCCCATGGCAACCAATCAGTTCTAGCTTTATTTTTCAAAGCTTAACTGAACAAACTAAAGATAGAAGGCAACAGGTCCAGGTTCTATCTGCTCCAGATTTGATGAATTCTCCCCCCCCCCATTGCCTGTCAACCTAAGTCCCCATTCATACCTGTGTATGGGGCCAATCACAAGGGTCTCACAAATTCCTCAGCGGGACTCATGTGATCGTTTACTGGTGGCGAAGTACAACACAACAGCAGCTGCCACTGCTCGCAGTTATTTGTGGGTCATGCACAAGCAATTATGCAGGCTGAGATTACCTGTGCACATTCGCACCTGGACAGTGTGTGAGGCCATAGTGTCAACTATTATAAATCTCAGGCACTCCGAGCTACAGACGCTTTATAGTGAGGATAATGGCCTCTTTCTTTAGACCCCACCATATAAAAGTATTATGAGGTAAACTAGAGCTGCAACAGCTAATGGACTAAGTCAATTACAATCGATGATGGAAAACGTTGTCAATGGTTTTCCATCATCGATTAGTTGGTCTGCTCGCCTCACCCAGCTCTCACAGACTCGCCGTCTCTGCTCCCTGCCTCACCTAGCTCTCACGGACTCTCTACCTCTCCTTCCCCCCCTCACTGACTCGCCGCTTCTCATTAGAGCTGCAACAGTTAATCGATTAAGTCGATTAAAATCGACGATTGAAAACGTTGACATCCCCGCCTCAACCAGCTCTGACGGACTAGCCGTTGCCCGCCCGCCCATCCACCCACGATCGGCACCATGAAGCAAGGTTGAGCAGACGTGGGGGGAACGGCAGCTGCCGACAGACAGGCCCGATCTCAGGGAAGAAAGTTAGCGACTGCCTGCACTTTCCCCCCACATGGTGCTGTATTAATGTATTGCTGGGATAGTGGGATTTGTATTCCTCTATAGCGGATTGTACATTGCTTTGTATATTATACAGCGCAATGTACTATCAGCTATAGAGGAATACAAATCCCAGCAATACATTTTACACTGTATGTTTAATGTATTGCTGGGATTTGAAGTATTCCTATATAGAAGCTAGCATTCTGCATTGCACTGTATAATGTATTATTGCTAGGATTTGTTATATTCCTCTGTAGCTGGTGGTATTCTGCATTGCGCTGTATAATAATTGCACACCACAATTTTTTTTACTTCCACCGCTCCGAGCTTGCTCCTGTAATGGACTACAATCTCAATACAAACTAGTAGTCCCATCACAGAGCCTTTTAAAAAAAATCCAATTAAATCGATCCTAAGGCCCCATTCACACCTATGCGTATTGTAATATGCGCGTCTGTCGCGCGACCGTCACGCGGTTTTTTTATCGCGATTCGCGGTAAAAAAGTCGCGCGATTCCAAAGGCTACTTGGCAGTATACAAATGGAAAACGCCCTACAAAACGGACCAATACGCAGCAAAAAACGCTCCGGGACCTTTTCATGCGTGGGCCGTTCTGTAGTGCGTTCGGGACGGGCGGAAATACGGACAGGTGGGAACGATACCATTGACTACAATGCTATTTATTTTTTTGACCGCTTTGTAGAGCGTTCATCGAGCGTAGGACGCGCTACAAAACGGTCAGGTGTGAATGGGGCCTAATAATCGGCTAACTAATCGATTTTCAAAACAATCGTTAGCTGCAGCCCTAAGGCAAACAATAATTTTTTTTAGCACATTTCGTAAAAGATTTGACAATGTTGCATAGTAAATGGTGTGAACATACACTTCAGTATCCAAAATTGAGCAGATAAAAACAAGTAAACACGGATTTCCTTTTCACGATTGGATAATTGGTAAATCTTCACACATTTTGTGTACACATCCTCAATTCCTTTAATAAATCACCCTGCTTATCTAAGGATACACTGGGGATGATTAAACAAGGTGGTACATTTGAAGGTGGGCAGAGGCTTACTTTATCTCTAGAGTCATATAGACAACGTGCAGAAAAAAAAGCTTGTTTAAATGATAAAATCTAATGTGGGTAATTGCTCAGGCAGAAGAAGCTTTAGACTTTTAGAAGTCATTTGTCTACAGACCTTAGAGCAAAAACTAGTTCATTAATGTGCTCAATACACCCACACATTTACCCCTTCCTGGCTAATTTTTGTTAATTATTCTTTAGCGACAACCAATCTACAAATTGTCCAGAGCAATGCGGCAATGTTTCTCCATGTCTCTTGAAGGTAACCAATATAGGGAAGCATAGATCTTACACCACACTGGTGTTAAGATAACACTGCTCTGCCATGCTACCCGTGTTAAAGGATAAATATCGCCATCCGTCAGCCAGGGTGTTTGGCACCCAGTCCCATCAGTGTGACCAAAGCGGTCAGTAAATCGTCTAGTCACAGCATGTTGGAATACAGACTCATGGCTATTTCCACCTGCACAAGAATTTGCAGGTACCTGTAATTACGATTAGGAAAAGGACACGAATAATGGCTGAGGGAAAAAAAAAAAAAAGATGCAAGTTAATATATGTGTAGGGACTACTAAGGATAAACAGGTATGTGATGGCAACTTTAGACGCCTTGCTTTTTAATCCCTGTCAGTTGAAGGCCTTCTGT